ATGATTTAATCGACTCGAAGTCGCGCTCCGATGTACGATTTAACGCATTATCTATAAGATGTGATTAAGAAATACGATTCGAGATGATGGATGGTGCTGGAGGCGTCCTGTTACGCTGAGTGCGATCGATGGAGCGTGTCGATAGCCATCGGCGCGGTGGTATCGAGCGCGCATCGCGCTGACGGCGCATCGATCGTCGGCGCAGGCGTCGGTTGTGCAACGTTTATGAATAATTACCGGACGGTGTACTGGCGTACGCGCACTCGATTCATTGCCAAGGACGCCTTTTCGCTTTTAGTCGGTCATCGATCGGAGCGTGTTGCGCAACGCGACGGGGTTTCGCTGTCGGGCCCGTTGCGCCTGTTGCGCCACGCACCGTGAGAAGTGCACGCGACTAATGACGCGTTGCTCAAGCGGCGCAATCCGCCCACAAATCGCTTTATTATGCAGAAAGTGAGTCGGAACAAATGGACGCGCCGCACTGCACCCGGCCTGCATTTATTATTACGGGACCCCGGCGGAAAGTGAACGCCGACTATGATGAACGGATTCATATCAACGTGATTGTGATTTATAACGTCGCACCACCACTCTCGGCGACTGTTTATATAAAAAAATGAGCATTTTATCGGTGCACTACCCGCGGCTCGCATATTCATAAAGTTGACGGCTCCTCATAAATATGTGTTGCAGACCAGCTTTATCAATTTGATGGAGAGCCATAAGTATCTAAATTACAATGATCTGCCGCTCGGATTGCGCTGTAACTGATTATGACATTTTTAATAAGATGTTGTTCGTTCTATGAAACGCTCGGTGTTGCGTGAAACCATAATCTCGTGATCTGAAATGTTATCTTTCTCAGTCGTTGTTTCGATTCATCATAGTTATCTTGTAGGTGGGGCAGTAAACGCCACTGGTAATGTACTTCGTTCTGATTACACTATCGTCGGCATCAATCTTCCAATTCACTCCCATTTACTTTATTCGACGATGATATCGAATTCTCAAGCAAAAGAAACTGCATCTATCTGATGTTAAAATTCCAATTCATAAACATAACAATAAGGTTTTCCAACTACTAATTTTGTAAGCGTTTTCTGTCACGCTATTATTGTATATCAAATAAGAGTTTTCAAAAAAAAACAAGCTTCGTTTCCGTTTGAACGGGTTGCGTTTTTGCAATTCTGGCACAGCTGTCGTTGGGCAGGTGCGGCCATTTTCGCCGAATTTTGTCGGCGTTCGATGCCAACGCACAGAGTTCTCGTCTGAAGCCGCAATCACTGGATGCCAGCTTTAAATGGACAAAAACATTGCACGATATTTGTTTCGAGTATCCTGTGAGTAAGCACTTTGGAATGATTAACGGAGTCTGGTTGGAATTTCCAAGTGACGTCCAATGATGGTTTGTTCAGACTTCGTCAAATATTTATTCGTTGAATTCAAGTTAATTATGGCCATTACATTATTATTGTCTTCTTAAGTGTAGATAGACAAATACACGTAGTTGTTAATAATGTTGGTTTGGAGGCTTTGATACCTAGTGCCCATTGTTTTCACCTTAACTTACCAAAATTAACTGCAAAAGTAACTAATTCGGTCAGTTCCTATATTCAATGAGAGATTATATCAATATATCTGCCTACACACGCGATTGCACTGCGCAACAGTTGTGTGGAATGCGCACGCGCATCTTAGGTCAACGCGCGACTTGACACAGTGACACGGTGTCAACAGTGTTTTCTCATGTTTTACATGATAGGCACTCTTGCGCAGCTAACAAGTAAAGTGTCTATTACATTAATAGACTTTTTGCAAGGTGGGCGAATCGACTATATTTCACACCTACCCACCCAGCTATTGCAATTGAATAAAAATTACTGTCGTACTAGCTGACCCGGCAAACTTCGTTTCGCCTCAAAATTAATTAATGTTTTCTGAACTTTTAAACCAGGGCAGGTTAAAAGGACTTCCACGAATATTTCAAGATCAAAATTAGCCAAAATCGGACCAGCCGTTCTCGAGATTTAGTGAGACCAACAAACAGCATTTAATTGCATATATTAGGTTGACAAATAACTATGAAATAAATCCTTTAAGAAAATATAAATGTACACAATCAATTCTCTGCGCCAATTTCTGACCCTAAACACAACCCCCTATGCAAACAAACCATCTCTTCTCATAATATTTCATTCCTAAATCTATTATTCGATCCATTCAATTAATTTTACACACGTTACGCAAACACGAGCGTCATCCCCCATTCATGGCCCAGTTGTTTTATCTGGGTTACGCTAAGGGGCGGGACTATCGATCCTTGTCGGCACGCCCTTGGTTCTGTTACCGTACTGGTAACTATTACGTATTTGGAGTATTTTACTTGCTATTTCTAGTATGTGTTATTTGAGGACTCTGTTCCAAAATATATTTTGTCGAATAACTAAAGAAAAAGATGTTTATACATGTACCTATGTTCAAGATTGTACTTTCAAGCTGGTTTAAATCCTCAAATTGTCATCAACATTCTATAAGTGAAGTGTCACATAGTGCAGGTTAAATATTTCACAATTCATCCCTTTATTTTACTTAAAACCAACGACACGTAATAAGCTGTACCTATTTCCTACAAGATCTAAAAATAGATGTCTCGCCACCACCCCGCCCGTGGCCCTGTCGGCAGCCGTGACCCCTGGTGAGGTCACTCGGGCACGGGGTGGCGATACGCCCTCTACCCGCCCCTGGTTGTCCTCCAATGCCCTCCGATGCCCTCTGTTGCCCTCACTACGTCCTCCACGTGCCGACATTGGCCTCAATACCCAATTGTTTTAAGTTTTACGTAATCCGCTCCGGTTCTGCGTACAGTTGCGGTATTAAATTCATGTTACAATGAATTCACTGTTTTTATTAATTAACTAGTAGAATATAGTCGGTTACCCACGTAACGACATTGAGCTAGATACGTGGGAACATTTCTTTATTCATAGTTTTTGTATGTTTATGTGAGACATGTCATTCAATATTCGTGTCCCTTACTCGGTGACTGTGACCAATTGTTGTGTTCCTCCAGAAATATGTCAGAATAACTTCTGAATTAAATCGAGTGAGATTCATCTCATGCGTCAGGTTTCTTAGAATTTTAACGCCCTTTTGATTCACCGATATTTCCGTCTCGTAAATTGTTTTTTCGAGTGTTAAAAGACGAAAGAATTAAAATCAAAGACAGTATTAGATAGTAACATTAAAGATTCTGCAAAAAATATCGTAATTATATCGCATTCAGTAAGTAGTTCCTCGCTCTCGATTGTTGTACAGACTAGCCTACTTCATTCTTCTTGTTGAAAATTTGTAAACATTTTATGCAAATCTACCGATCGTCTATGTCTACCGACCGAACCTTCGAGGTAGGTATAATTATTACAATGCGTTCGTGAAATATTTCACATTGTAGATCCGGTTGTAAATCTTGAAGCGTTCATGCGTATATTCTAGAGAACTGCGTTGGTGGTGACGGTGGAAGGTAATTCAGAAAACCCACAGGATAAGAAGTTTTCTTTTGGTTACGTCTGCAACCAGCACCATGAATCCTAAGATTGCACCCTCTTTACTTATAGCTTAGTGTCAGTGCTTAGACACTAATTACGACTTTTGTTACTATTACTTACTGTCTCTGCCGACGCGCTATTTCAATATGAATATGAAATAGCAGGATAAAAAAACTGTCCCTAGTGAACAGAGCAATGTGCACTGTGCAGCTCGGGTGAACGTCACGCTGCAAATATTAGTAATTTTCGTATTGGCACGTCACCTCATTATTTTCCTATTTTCATTGCACTCAACTTGGTGACAAAGATCACAATCACCAGGACGGGCATAGTGTCATTTGTTGTAGGCGATGAAATAATTCCTTCCTATCGGCTACTTTGTGTAATTATACTTCTGTTTCATCTGTGTGGTATCCAGTGTCGGCGCCGGCGCCCGCGCCACGCAGCTAATTGCAAACTGTGTGCGCGCAAACAAACCTCAGATTTATGCGATACTTAGAATTACCTGCAAACCTAAACACTTGGCTTTCCCACTCAATGTTAGGATAAGAAAATTACTTAATATGTGCCCATAATGTAAATAAACCTTTGTTCCGTGGCGTAACACCATCGTTTGCGGCCCTAATGAGACCTATTCTACAGAATTTAGTACTTACTCTAGCAACTAGTTTTGGGAAATGGTTCGTTATGCGCGAAAGAGAGAGTTTAAATAACGACCTATGCTAATTATGCTATGCTAATGTACGTAGGAACACAATGTTATGAGTTCCTGATCTCGATCGGGAACGTATTTTCCGTCGGCCTTCCTTATAACTTTTGTTTCTTCTCCGCACCAATATATTAGAGCTGTCCCATAAAAATAGTTCGGAACCAATTTCCATAAATCGCTAATGTACGACGTCTCCATAGATCACCTGTAAGGATCCCCTCACAGAGTGCGCGCGCGCCGTTCCTCTCGGCTGGTAATTATTCCGACTAATGCCGCCTAATGGCTGCCCCTGATGTGTTTACGAGCAACACTTTGTCTTAAACGGCGACAGTGTAATGAAATCAACCGATTACAATGACGGTAATATCACATTTGCCTTCAAACCTGATTTAAGAGGGTAACAGTCAATTTTGTAGGCTGCGAGGCTTTCTATTCCGATAAATTTGTTCGCTGGCACTGGATTTTATGTCGTCCGTTTTGCTATCGCAATGGGAACTAATTTCAGATTTGCACATTACATAAATTTGTATACCTAAGCCCTTCCTACTGGCCTGGATAACTACCGACCTAACCACTAGACCGAACCAATCGTGATTCGTCGCCATAGTTAATTAAATAATCAAATCAAAATTGTCATTTTAATTAATTTTACGTATTTTGTGTTATGACATATGCGAATTAACGGCACAAGTAAAATTACTTTTTGTGGCTGTAAACTGACATTGCCTTTGTTTCTATTCTTCCAGGGGCAAGTTCGCGTCAGTCCGCAAGATTCGCCATTTAGTATCTGGAGAAGAGTACGCGGCAAAAATTATTCGCAAGCGCAGACGCGCGGCAGACACGACGCGCGAGATCCTGCACGAGGTGGCCGTGCTCGACCTCTGCGCGGAGTGCACGCGCGTCGTCAGTCTGCACGAGGTGAGAATACTTTATATTAACATCAAACATCGAACTTCCCGTTTGACAAGAAATTTCTACGGTTAATGGAAACGAGAAATCATTTCTGGCGGCCATTATTTCTGAATTAGGTACATAGTCCCTAAATTCAGTAATCGACATCTTGTGGCTGATATGATGATGGACCAGTTAAACAGATTAGTTAAAACCTGGAGGTTTCGTAGACTAATTTTCCGTGTCTGATTTCTAGGTATACGAAACCCGTTCGGAAGTGGCGATTGTATTAGAATTATGTGCTGGAGGGGAACTGCAGCGTCTTCTTGACGAAGAGGATCGCCTGTCCGAGGGTGCGGCGCGAAGGGCCCTGCGCCACGTCCTAGAGGGGCTGGCACACCTACACGCGCGTCGGGTCGCTCACCTGGACCTCAAGCCACAGAATTTATTACTCACAGCCGGCGGAGAAGAACTTCTTATATGTGACTTCGGCATCAGTCGCGCTATACAGCCCGGAGCGCACGTCCGGGAGATATTAGGCACAAGGGACTATGTTGGTGAGTATTTTCTACATTTATTGTAGTTATAAACGACTAGCTACTCTCGCGCGGTTTCACCCGCTGCTCAGCTCTATTTGATCGCAGTGTGAATTTTATAGCCTATAGCACTCAGGAACATTGTAGCTATCTATCAGTGAAAGAATTTTGGCAATCCGACCAGAGCGGTTCCAAAGATTGCCCCCTACATACAAACTTACAAAACCTCTTTACCTCTTTATAATATAAGTATAGATGAAGACCATTCGGGGTAATTCATTTTATTCGCTAATTTTGACATTCTTGGAAGAGTATTTCGGGGCGAAATAGTCTACTAATAAATAGACAATAGAATGCTTACATAAAATCACTTTCTGTAACTCAGGTGTCTAGGTACTACTAATTGGATTCTGTTACAATGCCTAGTGAAAGTTTTAGGTTTGAATTAGAAATCACAGCTAACTGCCATCGAAATTTTATGAGTAGGGAGTGACCTGTTCTATAGACTGTGGAAAGCTAAAAGATTTAAGTTTCGAAACCCTTAGCGATCGAAAATGTTCGTTATCAATGTACCTACATTTCGGAATACTTCTTTTGGAACTTATGAGATGCATTTTTTTATTTGTGAGGAGTACACTTCAGAGCAATTGTATTAATTGAAAGTAAAATCAGTCATACAATTTTCTTTTTTTTCCACAGCCCCAGAAATCCTATCGTACGAGCCCCTGTCGCTAGCCGCAGACATCTGGTCAGTGGGCGTGCTGGCGTACGTCCTCCTCAGTGGGTACTCCCCGTTCGCGGGCGAGACCAAACAGGAGACCTACCTTAACATAGCACAGTGCCAGCTCAGCTTCCCCAAGGACCTGTTCCGAGGAGTGTCACAGAGGGCCATACAGTTCATCAAGGAGACGCTAGTTGTTGATCCTAAGTGAGTATTCGTTGAATCACATCTTCAGTTACGAGTTTTATCACAGTTTTCTTTGTTTTTATTGTATGTTTTATTTATACTAAATGTTATCGTTTGTACTTTTCAGGGGTCGTCTTACAGTGGAAGAGTGCCTGGAGCACCCCTGGTTGAAAGACGAGGCGAACTTGCCGCGCGCGATCGTGGGCGTCGGGTTTGACGCCGAGCTCGCCAGCGACCCCGACGCGGACGCGGACGACGACGACAACCACGACAACCTCAACGCCGTCAACGGAGTCAACGGCGTTAATGGCGTTAACGGAGTTAACGGGTGTAACGGCGTTAACGGCGTGAACGGGGTCAATGGTGTGAATGGTCACAATGGCGTCAACGGCTGTAATGGGACCAACGGGTCACATGATGATGAAAAAGGTGAGTTAATGTACGTTATCGTCATCGTCATCTCATATTTACTCTTCCTAGCTGTCCTATTTCTCGTGGGTTTCCATTTAATCATCACACGCTCTCATCACGGCGACTGCTACAAGTGGTGCAACTAAACGTATTGTATGACATGTTTCCAGAATCATCAGAGTCCCGGCCATCCTCGGCCCAGGGCCGCGAGGAGTGCGAGGAGCGCGACAAGCCGCTGAAGCATGCGCACGCGCGCGACGTGTCTCCCCCCTTCCCCGACGCCCCCTCCACGCCTAAGGTGAGACGCGCACTACCTCACTGAGCCCCGCAGCCGTCGGTCAGGTTAGAACATACAGCCTGGATGTCTACTTGTGTGCTTGTGTCGGCCTGATACTTGGTTCTCTGCTAGTGTTCGTATGTTATGTGACTTGCGGCGACAGCTTGCATGTGAGTGACGCTTCGGGGGGCGCAGCTCGTACTCGTCAATGTACCCTTACTTAGTTAGTGTAGTTGGTGTAGCTCCGGCAGTGCCGCTGACGCAGCGTTTGGTTGCAGGTGTCGCGCAAGTCGGCCCCGCACGCCCCGTCGGTGCTGGCGCTGTGCAAGAAGTTCCAGCCTGACTACGAGAAGCCGGCCAAGCTGTCGCTGGCGGCGCACGACTGCGGCGCGGACTGCTCGTGCCGCGCCCTGCGGCCGCGCGCCGTGCTCTGCTAGCTGTGGCTCTGCTGCGGCAAGCCGTGGCTAGCTGTCGCTAGCTGTGACTAGCCGTGGCTAGCCGTGGCCGGGTTGCTCTGTTTCTGTACATATAGGCTAAGTGTCGCCAGACAGTTGTATATTTGTTTAGCGAGCGCCCCGGTCGCAGGGACACAGGTTCACGGCCGACCGCGGCGCTCCCCCGACGGTACAAAATGCATAATGATGCGCCCGCGCACTCCCTGCGCTTGTATATGTAAGTGGTCGCGTTGTATATAACGCAGAGGTAGCACTGCCAACACTAGGATGCGGAGAGGTGTAGTGTAGCAGTGCGGGGCAGTATGGGGCAGTGGTGTACATAGGGCGGCGCGGAGCCGCGACTTAGATAATGATGTGTCGACCACAGTAATATTGTAGCGTCTAAGTGTTCAAATGGTTTAACAGATGATGTAAGTTGTATGTTAGCCGGAGCGGTATAGAGTATATTGCCGATATGTTCGAGTGTTGGGACCAAAATTTTCTAATGTAGGAGAAACGATTCCATATCGGTGTAGTTGTTGTCTTGTACAATATTCAAATTTTATCACCGCGTGTGACCGTTTACGGGATGTTGCTTGTAGGTAATTAAATTGTTTATGAATGTCATGAGCTCAAATCTTGCGACTTAATTTTCTTTGTAAATGTGCTTAGATGAATAAAGTTCATCGAGTGTAGTTAATTCATCCTCCATGCTGAAAATATTTTCATATATTGTATTGTATACTATTGTTTTCATCCATTTTGAATTCATTTTAATCATTTCGTTCAACTAAACTCGAAGATCCATTACCTTTAAAAGCTGTTGTGATCAATAACTCATTTGTAAAAAATAAATTATTGTGATATAAAATACTCGCTGTTTCTTTTATGTAAAAACCCCAATGATAGAGAAATACGTAGTAATGTTGGACGGGTTGCCTAGACAATAATATAGATTCCTGTTTCTTCATTAGCTTATTGCTGCTTTGCACGAAAAAGATTTTAAATATTATTTTTGCCATGGGCAATATGCGCATGTTGTGTGAACACTTATCAGTACTCTCTGAATGTGTAAGGCAATTTGCACAAGCCAACACCGTGTAACGCTCAATTTTTACAGACCTTTGTTATGTAAAATCAAATATATTTCAGAAATTAAAGCTCTGCCTGTAACCAAGTGTTCGAATCCTACTCGTATTTTTTTTATGTAATAGGTCGACAAACGAGCAGACGGATTACCTGATGGTAGGCAATCAGCGCCGCCTATGGACACTCGCAACGGAGGAGTTACGAGTGCGTTGCCGAACTTTTAGGGATTAGGGATTGAGGAGGGATTGGGGGAGAGGAAGGATTGGGCCTCCGGTAACCTCACTCACACAGTGAAACACAACGCTGTGGTTATTTCACGCCGGTTTTCTGTGAGGCCGTGGTATCACTCCGGTCGAGCCGACCTATTCGTGCCGAGCATGGCTCTCCCACACTTTATATTTAACTGATGAACAGGATGGAATATTAGTGACCTAGGGTGAAGTGGAGCTATTTTTAAAAGCTCCGATCATCTAAACCTCTTATTTTCATTAATAAATGATTGCAATACAACAATGCACTGTATTCTGTGCTACCCTGGTATAGTTTCAGCATAAATCTCCGGGCCTGGAGCAGGAAAAAGAACGTAGTGGTATAAGTAGGTGAGAGTCTGCCATTCTCGCCTAAGGACGGGAGAAGGTATTTGGTGATACGAAAATATTTTTCAATACTTCTGCTCCCCTCATAGTTGCCGTGAAAGCTGAATAAGAAAGAGACTACACATTTAACTGGTACTCATAACTTTTCTATCTCAATCCCGTATAACAAGTGTGAATACTACAATGAACCCTGTTATATAAAGTAGGGTTTTAGTTCCAGTTTGAGAATGTGTTAATGACATTCTACCGAATCAACAAAAAGCCCAGTAATGGAAGCCCAAAGACTCTCGAAGTAAATAAATAAAAGTCATAAATACAGGAAATACATGTTTTATTTCTAATACTACAAAACAGTCTTGCCGTGCAGTTGTATGTCGGATCATATACAATACTATATCTTGGCACTATATCGACATGCTAAGTGATACAAGCAGTTACCAGAATACTTACGGATTTCAAATTTCAGGGAGTATTTTATTATGAAGATGTTTCAACTCACAAAGTCAGCAAAGGCATTCAGGAGTAAACAGTGAAGGATAAGTCTTTAGTTAGTTATATTATTTAGACCCATTGTGTACATTTGAGGGTCTAAAAAAGCCTAAGAATATTTGGGTGACTCGTATCTCTTCTTGTACTTGTGCTTGTACCAAAAAGCACATATTACAGAGTACAGTTTCTATTTCCAATAACAATTATTTACCAATACAAATATTGATTATTTCATTGTATATACATCATGTTTCAATATTATACATAGCACATTTCGTTCCAATTCTTCATACAACAGAGAAGGGAACTGTTTTAGAATAAACATTAAAACTAAGTAAAATTATTTTGATACGTAGTATAAAGTAATCACAACTTTTAATATCTTCCTATAATATAAACATAAGGTAGTATATCAAACACCGATGTTCAAATGAAAAACAGCCTTAGTGGAAAGTTATGACGAAATAGGGCTACAATAAGGATTATATTACGACATTGACAGTTAAGCCATGTAGGATTTGCTTTTTATCAATTCTTATATAAAAAATGAAATTTAAGTCACACTTTTAGTACTTCAAAGTAGTGCTTAATACTTTAGTCAGGCAACCAATTTGACTAGATCCAAAAATACGAACAAATTTTCTATAAATTTTTACATAATTACATACACATCGTCACGCCCGTCTTAGAGAGACCATGGAACGCCTAATGACAAGTTACAAAATACATTACGACATTTTTGAATGATGACTGACTCGAGTCTTTTTCATAAAAATTATCTTACAAATACAGTATTTCATACTAATGAACGAGATCATACCAATTAAACCACTAGGCAGAATGTACGTAATTTTATTTACGTTACTAACATTCGCAAGCAAAAACTACTATTGCTTCAACGCAAACGTTATTTTTAAAGGAACTTGCGATTGCTTTTTAATCGAAAAAAAATCTTTAATCTGTTAATCCAGGAATTCGTTACTTGATGCATTTTATTTTAGTTATATTATTAAGATTAAATTAATTCTGTTGTACTGCTTATTCAAGTAACTGCTTTACAAAATGACTCACCTAGTTTCAAAACGTGCCAGGGACCCAAAGAAGCAACATAGCGAGAGTCCCGCAAACAATTGAAAGCTATCAAATTTCTCATCTTTGAATATGTCTCGAGAATAGCTATTATATTGGTATAAGAATTAATAATATAGTTTTACAAACGAATTTCATTGGTCGAAATCGGAGAAATTATTTGAGCTTACGTGTTATTAAACGCTACGATTCTTAGGAGCGAAAAAAGATAATTCCTTACAAAATACAAAAAACATATGGCAGCATGTTTCACAAAAAGTTAATGTAAGTCTTACTAATGGAAATTTAGACATAATTAGGCCATACAACAGACCACATTACTATAAGTACCCAATAAACTTATCGGACACATAGTACGTATATACAAATTACTATATATTCAAAAAATCTTCTGGTACAAAATTAAGACATTGTGCAACGATAGAAATATTATGTCAAAGTATATGTCAGTTCAAGAGTTTTAATTTTTGAGGGGGACAATTGTCAGATGACTTTTCCCTCTGGGTGGGGCGAGTCTGACAGGGAGTGTCCCACTCCCTGTCAGACTCTTTCTGACTAAAACCCTCGTTCCTTTTTTGCTTCGGGCTGAGGCCGCGGTAGATTATCACGCCTGCACCGCAACCCCAGCTGAATATCAGCTCTTGTGAGCATCATCATCATCAGCCTATAAGTGCCCACTGCGGAGCAAAGGCCTCTTCTCACACGGAGAAGGTGTGAGCATGAATCACCACGAAATTATAAGTCCAGGTTTCCTCACGATGTTTACCTTCACCGTATGTTAGTGGTGTCTAGATAATCATAGAATATAACTCGGAAAAAGTCACATTAGTACTTGCCAGGTTTCAAACCCACAGCCTCATGTATGAGAAGAGGGCTCCTTAACCTCCGGGCCACCACATGTGAGTTCCATCTCTGATGGTCTAATGGCTCTTTGAGATAAGAGCTTATCCAAATTTATGAAACATGCTCTTAATATTACAAAAGTTATTACAATTCTATATTATAATTACGTCTAAGATATACAAAGATTATATTTTCCAAATGATCTCTCTAAGTGTCTACTAAATAGTATTATAATGATAGATTTATGATTATATTAATTGGTGTTTTGATTACATTAGTTTAAATTACGGTTCGGAGAAAGACAATAAGAAAAAATAAATTTGTTGATAATATTAATAACATTTTCACTATAATTTGAATAAACAGAACGAATAATTAGTAGAAATGCCTTCCTAAAAAGGCTCACTACAAAAAAATAAAAATATAATTATAATTAATTTGTTTTTATATTGTCAATCTCCAAACCACATATTTAATACACGAACAGGATACATACAGTACTTACTCTCTATAATCTAGGCTATTTCATAAGTTGATATGAACACAACTGTTCTGGGGTGCTGTGTGAACATCATTGGTAAAACTGAAAACAACTTTATAGCTCTTGAAATTAAGACTTAATTCAATTACTACAAGAAAGTAGTAAAACAATAAGAAAAATGAACTCTATTAGTCATGCTGTAGAGAGAACAATTCAAAGGAATTTCCGATAAAAATCACAATTAAAAATCAACCTTATTGCTTTAGAAATACAGACAAAATGTATTAGATGATAATCGACAGTAGCATGGTTGACTGCACGGTTTGCGCAGTGGTTGGGCAACCTGCTGCAGCGCAACGTGTCGTGGGATCGATCCCGTACGTAAAATTTTTTTGTGTGATTCACAAATTGTTGTTCCGGGTCTGCGTGTCATGTGTATGTAAAATTTATATCTGTAAACGCACCCACGACACAGGAGAAAATCCTGGTACAAGGAAAAAAATAAATAAAGGTGAGCTTGTAAAAATCACTGTTTTAATTTTACCAATGATATCAATGATGCAGACGCCTGAAATATATACTTGAATATTATAAAAACCATTTTAAAATCTGTGTATGCACCAAAAAGTTTTGTTCGTTTTCGCTGAGGGAAATATTATTATTCCAATTGTGTGTAAAGCAAGGCATCTATATACTTAATCGTATATTAACCTATTGATTATGTAACATACAATATACAAGGCGGATCTATCTACTACAACGACCTTATTGCTTTCATTCTTGCGCATTTTCAAGACTATCTAGATTAAATTAAGACTTCATATATATACTTTATATTTTATTAACACTCTTTCTATGTTAACTACGAAATAACTTTAAAATTTATATTTGAAATACATCGTGGATAAGTTTTTTTTTAACAAAATTCATCAATTCTTTGAGATACGTCTGTGTGGACATGGGTGTCCTTACAGACGGAGTTGGAGTTTCATTAATTTAACGCACGTCACTTTTTCGAATTAGGTATATTCATAGTCCAGTAATATTTTTCAATATTTGATCAACTAAATTATCACCGTTACTTTTAGTGTTATGAAATAAAAAAAAAATGTTTTAATATAATTCCACTATATTCGTTCAACAACTAGGTATGCGGTATTTCACGAATTTTCACATAAAAACCATTTCATCTTAATAAGTCTTATTACTATCATACTCAAAGACACTTTACGATGACTTAAACATTTACTTAAAAAAAAATTCGTTTTGAAAATAATTGTTGAGAACCATTAGATGATTCTAACTACAGTACTAGTGGTCAATTCTTGAAATTTCACACGGATCTGGCTAAATATCAGAATTTAAAACTTAAAGGTATTACTATCAGCCCTATAGGAAAGTCTACCGTCACGGTGGCCAGTCTATCGAAATATAATAACACACTACACAGAAATATTACAGTGCACAAGGGTCCATGCAAATACAGATGCACTTTCTCGTTCCCTCACTCTGAATATGATGGAACGGCAGCCCAAGACGGCCGGAGAGAGTTCAGATGCAGAATGAACGCCTTTGTGTGCAATATCTAGACTAATCTAGAGTATCACATCACTAAATAAATACTAAGGCAGTGTACAACCTAAAAAAAAATAAAATAAATTTTGAGCAATTTTGTAATGATAATGACTGCCCGATTGACACGAAGGTCGGATCCTCCAGCACGGAACAACTCTTTGTGTGATCCACAAATTGTTGTTCCGGGTCTGGGTGTGATGTGTATGCGAAATTGTATGTTTGTAAACGCACTCATGGCAAGATAATCTTACTGTGGGGCAAAATTTAAAAAAGTACGAAGGACAACATGTTAGTCACGTCATATTCAAAGTTAATTAATTCATAATTATATCAGGTCTATAACTCATCTTATTACATTAATAATTAAAAGTCAATGCAAATAAGCATGAATTATAACTTGCGATCTACGAATTATCAACCTTAGAGTCTTAGTCATATAGCACACTTTAGAAATCATATCAAATCTCGAAAATAACATACGTTTGTATTAAATCTGTGATAGAGACATGCGTTATTGAAAAACCCACCTTGACGCTTACGATTTAAAGTAGGTAATTTACAAAAAACAGAAAAGATCAAAGAACACGACCATCAAACACGAGTTGAATCATACCAAAAATGAACTTTACTGCATTATTTTTAAGTTCACAATTAATTGTATCACACATTTACAATTACATGCAAATAAAAAACATTATACAATTGATATTCTTTACCACTCGATATTGTTTTTCTCACTCTAACTCATAATAAAGTACATACATCTGTCTCGCTCCTTCACCAGCTAGTGTCCATTGACGACAGTGCCCATGCTCTTCATCTCAGAAAGCTGGTCGGAGTACTCGGCGTACATCCTCTGCCAACGAAGCTGGCGGACTAGGAGAGCCAGCATCTCTTCTAGAAGATCGTGTTTCTTTATGCCCTGGAAGAAGATTTGACAATAAATTAGTCAAATTTAATACATACTTATTTCTTTAAAAAATAACAAAATACGAATATTAAAAAAATAGCATATTGTCAAACCAATGACTGAATGTGTATTATTTTATTCACAGTTTAATGCTTAAACATAAGTTTAATCCAAACCAGAAATAATTCTGATTAAGTCAAAAACCCAATTCCCAGGCTTTACTGGAGAATTTCATTTTGCACTTCACTCAAACTTACAAAAAGGAATATCCAATTTGGTGCAGTTATTCGAACGTTATGATTAACCACAGAACAGAAAATTAAGTAGAAGTGCCCCTACACTCTTTCAAAAGGAAAACCAGTGTCGCCAAAATCACACATTCGCAAATCAAATTATCCATTACACACATAAAAAACAGCTATATAATTGGGTAAAAATATGAAACGCAACTTTAGCAAATCATCTTCTAAATGTTGTTAAAAATTGAGTCGTATAACAATGAGCGAAAGTTGTTATCATTTCACAATCAATAAAGGCGTCTATCGTGTAAAAAACTTAAATAAAACAATTTACAAACGGGTTCAGCCACTCAACGCTAGATGGCTAGATGTAACAAATTCATTCTATTCAAAAAGCTAACTTCTTTGAAATAGATGTCATATTTGTATGCACTTGTACCAATAGACATTTACTATTTTGCTACTCAGATAGGACAGGGTATCCCAATATATCGATGTTTTTGTATTCGTGTGAGCAATATAATTTATCGACACGATATACCTACAAATGATCAGTAATGAAAAAGGAAAAAGGTTCTAATAAAAAAAAGAAAAATATTAACATATTTTTTTGAAGATTTAATGTTTTTTGGAGATGGACATTGGACAGTTTTATCTCCTTTCCTAAAATAGAATCATTAAAATCGGTTCATAAATAACGGAGACGAAAAAACAAAAAAAAATGTTACAGTCGAATTGAGAGTCACTCTCCTTTTTGGAACTCTGATAAAAATCATGTACCTACAACATTTTTACTTATAATAAATCTGTAGAGGGGTCAATTCTGTACATTAAATATATTTTCAAAATAACTACCAGGGGGTGATTAGTGATCGATACTAAACGATTACGATTATAAAAATGCAATCAGTAAAAATTTTGTCTGTCTGTCTGTCTGTCTGAATGTTCTTTATAGAAACAAAAATTACTCGACGGATTTTAACAAAACTTGGTACAATTATTCTTTATACTCCTGGGCAGGTTATAGGATACTTTTCATCACGCTACAAATAATAGGAGCAGAGCAGTGAAGGAAAATGTTGGGAAAACGGGAGAAGTTACTCCCTTTTGTAAGTTTCAGTCGCGTGTGTAACCTTAATGTAACCATTAAGGTTACAGACGCGACTAAAACTTACATAGAAATTATGTATGACGGAAATATTTTAAATAAAATTGTCAAAAAAAAATGTTATACAGCATATGTCTATCTTTTATGGTTAACTCACAATAGCACGTGTAACTCCTGATAGCTTAACAATTCGGATAATAAGACATAGCGCCGTCGCAAGTGAACACTGAATCATGGTATAAGAATTATTTTTGTGTAGCGGTTGCCATGCTCGACACGATGCGGTATAAAATATAATATAATATAGGTTTTATCAAATATTTGTAACTCTTACCTATTAGTTAGATCCGTACCTTTCTATCTATTGACGGACGGACTGCGGAGACTTAGTAAGTAATAGGGTATTTACCCATTGGAGATGTATAAAAATGAGACGATAAATACCAAATTTTATGTATACTTAGATTTTGTTCTCTTGCTATTTGCTGCTTTTTATCAACACAGCACGCGGGCGAAGCCGCTAGCGAAAACTAGTTATAAAATAAAAATGGTGATTAACCACCCGCACCTGCCACAGACGGATGCACGCTGTGTGTGGTTAAAACGTTGATGTGTCTATGCAATCTTAGTTAAACATTTATGAATTATACACAAAAATTGTCAAAAATCAATTTTCTGAACGATGATGATGAAAAATTATCGATATGAACCTATTTTACGAATATGTCGCATCCCTAAATGAGTAGCGTCGAAACTACTAGAATGTATTGTATATAACGTCACATAACGAACAAGTAGATTTAAACTTAATTGTAATGAAAATAAGGCCCTTTATAGTTTGCATTGAAGTAATGAAATGTGATATTTACATTAAAATCTAATATATTTAAAATTAACAAAGGTTAATACTCAAAGATGATACGATACACCACCACAAGACTCATCTTTTTTTCTGCTTACTTTTTTGCAGTTAAAAACCGCACAACAAGGCATAATTTCTAATATATTTCGTGTTTCTTAGAGACAACCATGACAACCAATCATGACAACGGATCGAACGATTCTGACAACAAATGTGCCAAAATGTTGTATATCTAGTCATCATGTTGGTTAGCGCGCGATGTCTGAGGGGCACTTCCACTGTATTTTCTATTCCGTGTGATTAACCATATTCTAAGTTGATTATTTCGAATGGCGGGACTCACCAGTATCGTGGACTGCCATTTCTTGGGAGTAGACGTACAGTGGCTGGGTCCCAGCATGTCATCTAATATTGATCGTAGCTGATCTTCTGTGCCTGGAAGTTTATATACACATACTTGAGTATATCATAGAATATTAATAACATTAATAATAATGTCTATATACCGTCTTGCCTTCGGTTGGATTGCAATGTTCAATTTATTTATTAGTTTTCGTTGCTCTAACTGGGGTTTTAACTTAAGGTCTCTAAAGGAATTTTTAGATTTAAGTACTCAATAGTTTTAGCGGCGGTATGGCGCGTAGCGTTCCGCATGCACCTCCAAGAACCAATAGACCACCACAGACAGGGCGTTAAAGGGCCAATATTCAGGCGGGGTTGCGGGGCAAGCGGAATAAGGTAATTGGCCTCGGTCCGGAGTACTCGTAAGAGAAGGAACGGGGGTTTTTAGTCAGTATGAGTCTGAAACTCCTCATCTCACCTTGGGCGAGAGAAGTCTGAATTAATTATTTTCCTCTTATAGAATAGCAATAAGTAAGTATAGGTGTGGGTACCGTGGTTGACGAGATGCGAGAAGAGTGCAGTGAGCCAGTGCCTGTAGTCGCGCGGCAGACGCAGCGCCACGCAGCACGACACCTGCGCCTCCAGCCACGCGCGCGCCGACACCGCGCTGTAACTGCACATATACATACATACAATATACATATCTACCAATATAATAACATAATATAAACTTTTTTGATCGATCTTCTCCATAAAAATCTACACGTTGAAACGAGCAAATTCCTATACAATAATATACTTGTGGTTAGTTTTGTTTTTTAAACATGTGGACACGGTCCTCAAGTCCGTTGATACTGCAAATTAAAGATGTATAAAATAAAAAACGAGCAATAACTCGAGAACAAACCGACAGCCTGACATTTTCATATATTTAATCTTTTTTAGATGTTCAAAAGTGACTGTAATATTATAATTAAAATAATATGTATGTAGTAATGTAATAGTAATGTCTTTGACTTTATGCAACGAAACAAAACAATAAAAAATGTATTTACTTTTGGTAATAGAAAATTATATATAAAAAACTAGATAAAGTTGACATTTCCTATCTGACTACTGTAAAAAGAAATGCCGAAATAAATTTAAAGGTCAGTCTTTTTTCAAGTTCATATAATGTAAAAAAGTAATAAAAAGATCTTAGAAACAAATAATGATAGAGAAATGTAAATTATTCTAGTCATTTAATAAATATATAATATTTTACATAAATGTATGTTTAATTTTTTACACAAAAAGGCATAAAATTATTTAATTCAAATTTGGTATTTGGTGGCTACTTTTATACACATACATAATGAGTTTAATATGATTAAAACAATGTAAATATCAAAATGATGTTTTCCAAATACCAAATACCTACTAATACAGCAATACCTTCTTGTGTCCTAACAAGGTTCATAATATGTACCTAGCTTTAATCCATTTATAAGATCTTTATAACATTATGGTGTGCAAATAAATAAATATGAATAAAGTTGAGTACAATGCAAGGGGCTGTCGGGGTTGCGGGGTGAGTGCAATGAGGCACCGCGGCCTCAACCCAAAACAGGAGAAGGAACGGGGCGTTTGGTTTGTAAGAGCCTGACACTCTCTTTCTCGCCAAGGAGCAGTCATTAGATGATTTTCCCCTGATAATATAAAGTGGTGAAGCAGTAGTTACCTGTTGGCGAATGCAGTCCGTGTGTGTGTGTGCAGGGCGGCGGGTGTGTGCAGTGGGTGCCTGGCGGGCCGCGCGTGCGCCGCGCCGCTGCAGCGCCACACCGGGTCACTCGCGTCCGCCCACACCACCCTGGGGGGGGGGGGAGACAATATACCTTCACTAGGCCATTTACTTTCATACGGAATATTGAACCATTAACGAATGTAGATTCATTCATTTATTTTCTTTCGTTACTATCGTGAGACATACTGAGAGCTAATTTTTCAATGATAGTTATCTGGGGACTAAAAACGGTAGTTTCCAACTGGTCTTTAATGCTTTTATCCAAATATCAAAAACTATACTTTTCCATGAAATTTGTATAAAATACTGAGTTATGGACATCATAATTTTTCCTCAAATAGTTTAATTATTTGTTAAAAAATATCTAAAATTCAGTGTATCGACAAATAAAAATATAGTTATATTTCAATATTTTATTGTATTGAAACCTGTATTGAATTAATTTATTTTTGACCTAGAAAACTACCCAATTAAGATGGTGTCGCGTCAGGATATTCGTATAAGACAGTGACAGCAACAATTTTATTTCTCAGATAACATTTATCTGACTGTTGAAAAATCAGCCCTCAATATAATGAATTACTCACGTGAATAAAGTTAGAAAAACTCTACTAGTAAAGCCACAATGATCGCGGCAACATCACGCTATTGGAAGTTGGCTGCGCGACTAATGTTTAACGTAAAAACCACTGAACTATTCTGAATAAAATTTGCCTCAGAGATAGATAGATCAAGAATAACATCTCAGCTTTTTTACACCTATACTGCGGGCAAAGCCGCTAGCCGAAACTAGCAATATATATTTTAGAATTTGGACTAAACTACGCACTTACCACGAACAAAGTTCCTTGCTATAGATGTAGCTTTTGCCATTACTGAGAGATAGGTGAGGGTTGCCATCGTCCAGCAAAAAGCAGTTGGTCACAGTTACTGGAAACAAAAATTACCGAATTAATAAAGCAGGAAATTTTTACACACAAATTCAACATCATCATTAAAAAATATTGTTATGTTTTTAATTGCGGCTTAGGTAAGAAAAAATGACGATATTCGTATTTCCCTTATTGACATATATTAAACTAACTTTTGCCTGCGACTCCGAGGAAAAGTGACTTCCGGCAATTTTTTGGTATAAAACCTATCCTGTCCTTTCTCGAGTTCCAAACTATGTCTGTACCAAATTTCACAGAAATCGGTTCAGTAGTTTTAGGCGTGAAGAAAAGACAGACCGAAAGACAGAATTACTTTCGCATTTATAAAATTAATTTGGTTTATACACCATAAAGAAGCTGAGTATATGGGTCATAATTATAGCGTATTTTTAAAGTCAACCAATCACAGTAGTAATAGATTTAAACGAAGTGAAGTCAGCCAAAAAATTATATCGTGGTGGCCCAGAGATTAAAGCGCCCAAAACCTGGCCAGTACCAATGTGAATTTTTCCGAGTTATATGTACTTTCTATGATAATTTAGACACCACCGACAAACGGTGAAGGAGAACATCGTGAGAAAACCTAGATTTATAATTTCTAATTATAAGTTTGAAATCGCCAATCAGTCTTGAGCAAGCGTGGTGATAGTGCTCAAACCTTCTCCGTGTGAGAAGGGCCTTTGCTCAACAGTGGGCACTTATAGACTGATGATGATGTGAAATCATCCAAGTTGCTTATGTTCCGACGTCGGAGCATATGGCACGTCGGGTTCAAATCCCTAACCATCTGCTTAAGAAACTTCAAGGGTTCGACTCTTACTGACTAAAAACCCAAAGTTCCTTCTCCTGCTCTGAGCCTAAGCCGCCGTGCCTCATTGCGCTTACCCAGCAAACTCAGCTGCACATCAGCCCTATAGGGCCCCGTCTGTGGTGGTCTATTGGCTCTTCGAGGCGCGCTCGGAACGCTATACGCCGTACGCTCGTATCTGGTTCTGATCGGGCGGCGAGCTACCCTTACTCGCCGTCCGTTTACAGTGGCCGGAGATCCTCTGTAGATACTTCAAGGGATAACTTACCGCCAGGAGCGAGCAGTGACCTGAAGCAGAGAGGTCGAATGACACAGGTGGCGGTGCTTAGGTTCCACATCGCGAGCTCCGCTGACGTAGTGACCACCACCAAAGTGTCGCCTGATAGAGTCAGCTTAGCTGCCTGGGACATGAGCGCTGTGGAGGCATTAAGGTTAAGTTAGCTCTACGAATATTATAAAAATAATGAATATGGTGTAGTTTGGTAGTGTAGTGTAGTGTAATGTAGCATAATGTAGTGTATATTATCATAATGTAGTGTTATGTGGTGCAGTGTAGTTTAGAGTACACTACTCTATAGTGTAGTATAGTATAGTGTGCGTATAGTGTAGTGTGGTGAAGTTTTATGTAATATAGTGTAGTGTAACACTAAGTGTAGTGTAATGTCACTACGTCACACCATACTATAGTGCAAAGTGTTGTATAGTGTGGTACAGTGTAGTGTAGTATAGTGTAATGTAGCGTAGTGTAGTGTAATATAGTGTAGTATGGTACCGAGTGGCGGCAGTGCCCTGTGCGCCGTGTGTCGGTGCAGGCGCCAGACGTGCAGCGTGCCGTCCGCGCACGCCACGCACGCCCACCGCACGTCGCACGCTATACACGTCACTGCAGACCCTGCCAGACAAACACGACAATACGGTAGTTTCCTAGATCAAAAATGAATTAATACGACGTTTCAATACAATAATATATTAAGCAATAACTACTATATTTCTATTCATCGATACGTCGATATACAAAATTTTCGATATATTTTAGCTAATTTTTAAGAACTAAATAAGTTATTTGACTCAAAAATATTATTATTATATCGTCATAATTAAGAGTTCCATGCAAATGACATAGAAAAGTATCGTTTTTGACGGTTGACTGCCTTATTGTTTATGTGTTTTCTATGACTATTTAAATTAATTTGTTAGTTTTGTACAATAATAAATAGAGTAAATTCATCAATCATCAATAAATTACATGTGGAAACATACCTAAATAGGTTTCCCACACGGGGTCGCTGGACGCGGAGTTGTTGGGCAGTAACTGTAGGCGGGACAGCGGGCCGTACTGCGTGTTGCATGCCTTGTTCACCACCTGAACGTTAAAAATATAGTTTTAGTTTTATATACATACCTAGATATAGAGAAATCTGCAAGTTCATCATTAAGATGTGTGCGACATTTCTAATCATATATTTATGTGTTTTAAACAAGGTATTCTGTATGTTAGCCGTACACCACAATTCAATTAATCTTATGTATAAAATTCTCGAATTTTATATACATATTTAGTAGGTCTGAGGATCATACGTCCTATGAGTATGCTCCGACGATGTGCTCGTCCAAGAAATAAATCAATCACATAGAAAAAATGTGTTTTTCTTAAAAATGTCGAAAAAAGAACCGTAATGTTACGCTTCAAACTTCAGATAGTTATCATAAACACATGCTGCTTTGAGATTTTTTTAATTATCTTACTTTTTATTTAAGCTCCATAGCCACCCCATTGCTTTTTGGGACACAAAGGCCTACGTAACCCAGGATGATACAAGGATCCCAACCGAATGCTATATGTCTAAATCTGGTCAGGCCTTAGAAATTGCAGTGGAATAAAGAAACTCACATTCATACATGAACCCTGAAAACATAACACTCCTTTTTTGGGCAGTCGTGATATTAGGCTGTAAGTACCTGTAGCCTCAGCATGCCGGCGGTGCGTACGATGGGGCCGGCGGTGCCGAGGGCGGGCGCGGGGAGGGCGGCGCCGGCCGCGGGGGGCGGGGCCGCCGCCGGGGTGGGCGGGGCCGCGCATGCGCGCTTCGCTCCCAGCTCGTCCGCGCGCGGCCCGGGCAGGGACGCCGCGCCGCGCTTGCGCAAGCGCTGGTCTAGGCCACTGAGATATAACATACATTACACTTTACTGTTTCATAACTATATTTTGAGAATTACATACGAACTTTGGTGCAAAGAAAATGATGTTACAAAATTTTTGAGCAAATGGTACAACTTTCACTATGATATACTCGTATATCAAAAAACTATAAATCTTAACTTGATAAAGTTTAAGAGCTCAAGATGTGCTATTTATACTTTTTAGACCAGTGTTTTAAATGCTTTAAGACTTGAAGCAAAAAAACACTGGTCTATCACAGAAACGAGAAACATGTTCTAGGGTTGAAACGATAAATGTATTCTATTCTTATTACTTTAATAACTTTCTATTTCAGTACTTTTACATACTTATCGCTGGTTCTGGAGTTATTCTGCTGCATGGAGATGGCGTGGTTGCTGACGTTGGGGTGTATGACGATATCGTCTCTAACCTCGACCTTAATACGAGACTTGCTCTGCGACGAGGTACTGAAGCAGTTCTCCGTGCCGCCCGGCTGGGAGCCTAGAGATTCACTGGAACAAACATAATTGTAATTATTTTCTCTATTTCTTTAAATAAACGTTTGCATCGCGTATTTTCTTTCAAAGAGGCAAAATTTAATATTCGTGTATATTGTAAATAGCGTCTAAAAATAAAACATTCAGTAATCTTCTTGCCAAGGATAGATCGCGCGCGCCTCGAACTCCTGACCTAGTCCAGACGGGGCCCAAAAAAGCCGATTTTCAGCCGGGGCAGTAAGAGTCTGACATTCCCTCTCGCCTCCTAACAAAAGTTATATGATTATTTTCTCCCAAAACAAAGAAAGTCTTCTTGCACTTCTCAAAAGACCTAAAAACTTATGTCAAAAGGTTTTCATTTATCATATCAATCGAATGATTCCACTATGATAAATGATAAATCATTCGATTGATTCCACTATGATAAATGAAAACCTATTCTCCCTCTAATCTTCTTGCTAAGTGGAGATGATGATGAACCTTCTCATGTATAGAAGAGCGGTGATATAATGAATAACTTACTTAGCATCAGCCTGTGTGAGAGGTATGAAGACTGGCGTGATCCGTCGCTTGCCGTCCGACGTACGCGTCTCTATCTGCCGGTCCATCGGACGGAGCGGGGTGGAAGACGTCACGCTGGACACCGTCGACGGACTTAGCAGGCTTTTAGGCTGTGGTACAAATATTGAGATTAAATGGTTATGTAATATAGCACAATGTTTTTCTATACTAATATTATAACGAGGTAAAATTTGTAAGTGTACCGTCGGCGTAGTTATAGTTTGGATATTTGTATGGTGGCGGGTAGATTGTAATACTTATTTAATAAATCAGTTAGCTGCTAACCCTCGCCTTTCATTGACGCTGCATTGGCGACGAGGATAAATTGCGATTAATTGCGCGTGTGAGTTCGTTGATTCTTATTACAAAATGCCAATCGGGAAGTTAGAACCGTTTAGTTTAAGTTCTAAACAATGGCCTGCATACATACGCCGAGTTAATCAGTATATTTTACTGAATGATGTCAAGGATAACCTAAAAGTGCCCATGCTCATAACCGTCGTGGGAGAATCCACATATGCACTGATGTGTGACCTCTGTTCCCCGGATTTCCCTGAGAATAAAACCTACGAAGAATTAGTGAAGTTAGTCGCAGACCATTTGGAACCGCAGCGATCGGAGATCGCTGAACGCCACGTGTTCAGACTGCGGCGACAACGCGAGGGCGAACCTCTGGCTGAGTACCTACAAGCGCTCAAACATCTGGCAACAACTTGCAATTTTGGCAAATGCAAACAGTGTTCTACTCTGGAGGAAAATCTGAGGGACCAGTTTGTGTCGGGCCTAGCTAATGACGCAATGCGTTCAAGGATATTTGCCGAAAGAAAGATTGAATACAAGGAGGCGGTGGAGTTAGCACTAGCTCTAGAGGCTGCAGAGAAGCACGCGGAGGTGAGCGGCAGTACGGTGCCGGCGGCGACCTCAGGTGCAGGCGGCGAGGCAGGCGAAGATCTGCATTACACACGTGGCAGGCGAGGGCGCACTCGTGGCGCCCGTAACACGGCAAGCGCGGCGGGCGCACCTGGCGCGGCGAGCACGGGCCGCGCAGCCAGCACGGACGGCGCTGCGCGCCCTTCGAACGGCGGCTCGGCGGCGCGGGCCGGCGCCGGCGCGTGCTGGCGGTGCGGGAGAGCGCATCGCGCGGAAAGGTGCCGTTATGTGAATTATATTTGTGACGAGTGTAAACAAAGAGGTCATTTGAGAGTGATGTGTAGGTCAGTGAAAAATAGTGGAAATTGGGTCGACAGTCGGCAAAACTATTTGAGTGACGATGATTCGGGAGATATATTTAAGATTATTATGATGGGAAGTAAGGACAATAAACCATACTATATTAATGTAACCATAGATAGCTATGAAATTAAGTGTGAAATCGATACCGGTAGTCGTATTTCGGCTATCAATGAAGAAACGTATAAACGTCAATTTTCTCATAAGATGATTAAGCCGGATAATTTAATGTTGCGTAGTTATTCCGGTTCACGCATCGAATCACTCGGTTATATTGAAGTGCAAGTACGATTACGAGATATAGAAGTGAAATCTTTGCCTCTTTATGTCATTAAAAACGGAGCATGCCCCTTATTGGGAAGAGATTGGTTGCGTGCCCTTAAGGTCTCACAAATTAATCTACATAAAATAACCGACGATGGATTCGTGAACCGATTATGCGCGGAATATCCCGAAGTGTTTACTGATAAGTTAGGTACATGCAAGCGAGCCATTCAACTACAGCTGATCGATGAGGAACCGGTTTACGTTCGTGCGAGGCCCGTGCCTATAGCGATGCGCGCGCGCGTTGAGCGTGAGTTGGCTCGGCTGGAGTCTGACGGGACCATATATCGCGTCGATTATTCAGATTATGGCACACCTATTGTACCGGTTGTAAAAAAAAATGGGGACATACGGATATGTGGGGATTATAAGATTACAATTAATCCTAAACTTAAGCGTGATTATTATCCTTTGCCCCGGATTGATGAATTATTTGCGAAATTAAGTGGGGGAGAGAAATTTACAAAAGTCGATCTCACCCATGCTTACGAACAGTGTATTTTAACAAAAGAGTCTCAACCCTTTACTGCCATAACTACTCACCTCGGAACATATGCGTACCGTCGGACGCCGTACGGTTTAGCTTGTATTCCTGAAAAGTTTCAGAAGTTGATGGAAGAAACACTACGGGGCATTCCGGGTTGTGTGGTTTTTCTTGATGATATTTGTGTAACGGGTAGCAATGATAAAGAACACATTGGTAATTTACGAGCTGTTCTCGAAAGGTTGCGCGAGGCTGGACTTACTGTGAAACTAAGTAAATGTAGTTTTTTACAAGAAAGTGTCAAATACTTAGGTTACATTATTGATAAAAAGGGTTTGCGACCCGACACTAGCAAACTTGATGCCATATCCAACGCACCCAGGCCCGAAAATATAACCCAACTAAAAAGTTTCTTGGGTATGTTAAATTATTATGGAAAATTTATTAGTAATTTGAGTACGCTATTGCACCCATTACACAATTTATTAAAGAAAGATGTGCGCTGGAAATGGACACAAAGTTGTGAGCGAGCATTTAATGAAGCCAAGCGTGTTCTCCTGGGCGATCAAGTTTTAGCACATTACGAGGAGGGGCGGCCACTCGTACTGTCGGTAGACAGCAGCGCGTATGGACTTGGCGCTGTATTAGCACACCGCTACTCGGACGGCAGCGAGCGCCCGATTAGCTGTGTATCTCGTACGCTTAACGCGGCGGAGCGCAATTATAGTCAGCTGGATAAGGAAGCGCTCGCAATATTGTTCGGTGTGACAAAACACCATCAATACTTGTTCGGTAGGAGTTTTATATTACGCACAGATCACCAGCCGCTGACGCACATATTTGGCGCTAAGGGTGGCATCCCACAGACGGCGGCCAGTCGGCTACAGCGATGGGCGGAGCGCTTGGCCGCATACGCGTTCACTGTTGAATTCGTTCGCTCGGCTGACAATGGCCCGGCCGATGCTTTATCACGGTTACCACAACCCCAGGAGGCCCGGCTGGTGGATTCAGTTAATTATGTTAATTTGATAGAGGAATCTTTTCCTATAAGTTTCAAAGACGTGGCTAGGGAGACTGAAAAGGATTCAGTGTTATGTAAAATAAAAGGTTACGTTACGTTTGGTTGGCCGTTAACAGTGACGGAGGCAGAGAAACCATTTGCCGCAAGGAAACAGGATTTATCTGTAGAGCTAGGGTGTCTTGTTTATAGATATAGGGTTGTTATTCCGAAATCACTACAGAAACAGGTTTTAGCGGAAATACACGACGGACACCTGGGAGTTAACAAAATGAAAAATTTGTCACGAAATTATGTGTATTGGCCTAATTTAGACAGGGACATAGAGAATGTATGCCGCGGGTGCCCAGCGTGCGGAGCGGTGCGCGACGCGCCGCCGCATGCACCGCTTCACCCGTGGGAATTTCCACTACATCCGTGGCACCGCGTACATGCGGACTTTGCGGATTGTGGGGGTACGCGGTATTTAATAATGGTTGACGCCTACTCTAAGTGGATAGAAGCTATTGCCATGCGAAAAACGGACGCGCAGGCAACTATCTTAGCAATGAGAGGCATTTTTGCTCGTTTCGGGTTACCGTCATTACTTGTCACTGATAACGGACCTCCATTTACCTCGCAGGAATTTAATACATTTTGTAAAAAAAACTGTGTTAAACATGTGACCACGGCTCCTTATAGACCACAAGGAAATGGAGCAGCAGAAAACGCTGTTAAAACTGTAAAAAAAGCAATCAAACGTGCCTTGTACGAGGGTAGGAACGTTGCCACGGCCCTAGATAAATTTTTATTTAAATATCGTAATTGCCAACATGCAACGACGGGCGTGTCACCTGCGGTGGCTTTACAAGGACGTAGGCTACGCGGGCGTCTCGACGCGTTGCGACCAGATGTGTCGGCCGTAGTGCGCAGCGCACAAGAGCGGCAAGTGGCCGCTGCAGGCGGCACGTCACGTTCGCTGGCGCCTGCCGACACCGTACTAGCCCGTGACTATAGCACGAGGGGAGGTAAGTGGCTACAGGGCACGATAGTCGAACAGACGGGACCGGTCTCGTACAAGGTAGACGTTGGACGCGGAGACTGTTGGCGTAGACACATGGATCAAATTATACCTATACATAACAAGAATCGCCACTCGTTATCTCGAACAAGCATTGTTTCCGCTAGTAAAGATGGGTCACCAAACTCGGAGGTCCCCTCGGTCCGTACGGAGACTGAAGACACATGCGAGGACGCTTCTGACGAGGTCGGTGAGTATTCACATAAGTCTAATATTGAGGCGGCGCCAGAGCCGGTAACCTCACCACCATCACCACCGCCGGGAGCGTCTGCTCGTGCCCTGCGGGCTCATAATCGGGCACGTCTGCATTTGTAGGAATGTGTTTAAATATAAGTAGATATACATAGGACTAGCTTAAGGGGGAGAAATATGTACCGTCGGCGTAGTTATAGTTTGGATATTTGTATGGTGGCGGGTAGATTGTAATACTTATTTAATAAATCAGTTAGCTGCTAACCCTCGCCTTTCATTGACGCTGCAGTAAGTTTGTATGGAATGGTAATGGTAATCCTTGGAACCGCTGGTCGGATTTCCAAAATTCTTTCACTGATCGATAGCTACAATGTTCCTGAGTGCCATAGGCTATAAAACATTAGGAGTAAGCAGCAGCAGGTGAAACCGCGCGAGAGTTTATAGTAGTAGTAGTAGTAGTAGTATGTAATTTATTAGCTAGTATTTTATAAAGGGGGATGAATTTTCCAACAGCACATTAATAGTAAGTGTTGGAAAACCATGCTTCGGCACAAATGGGTCGGCTAAACCTGAGTGATACCACGGCCTCACAGAAAATGAGCGTGAAACAACTACAGCGTTGTGTTTCGCCGTGAAGTCAGGTTACTGAAGGTCCAATTCTTCCCCTTCTCCAATCCCTATATCCCAAAAAGCCTTATCCTCAAAAGGCCATCAACGTACTTATAAATGCTCTAGTGTTTGCGAATTTGGCGCGGTGGCTGGGCAACCGGGTGCCACGCAACGTGTCGCGGGTTCGATTCCAGCACGGAACAACTCTTTGTGTGATCCACAAATTGTTGTTCCAGGTCTGGGTGTGAGGTGTATGTGGAATTGTATGTTTGTAAACGCACCCACGACACAGGAGAAAATCCTAGTGTGGGTAACGTTTTTAAACAAAGAAAAAAAAACAGTGTTGCGATCGTCCCTGTACTGATTGCTTACCATCAGGTAATACGTCTGCTCTTTTGCTGTCTTATCAAAAAGTCTTGAGAACCAACCAATTATGTTACTTACCACTTGTGACTTATCATTCTTAGGCATGGAATCTTCCTTAGCAGCTTCCTTCTTAGCTTCCTGTTTCTCTCTCGCGAGCAAGATCTCGGGGCACTCGACCAACAAGTTGGCCGACAAATCGCCTCCCGACTCGTTGGCCAAACATTTCCCGTATATTTTTTCGTAGAATGCGTTCTGGGGATTAAGTGAACAGTTTTGTTATTATTGAAAAGTAATGAGAAACTGACATTTAGTTTTGAGGTTAGGTTTTTTGGTACAATTTGATAGGTGAGATTGAAATATGGTCTTTATTGCATGTTGAAATGAAATTAAATAGTCATTGGCGTATAATATGACGAAATAGAAACAGAAGATATTTTGCCAGATTAGGGTATTTTATAAAGATAATTCCAGAAGAAGGCTTAAATTGATTGTTTCATTAACCATAAATGTTCAAACAATGATTATACATAACTTAACCCGTTCATTTTTGTCGATTCTTAATTTTAATCTAGCTATATTTCATATTAAAATATTGTTTTTAACATTTGGATAAAAGTATTGAACTGGATTAGACGAAAACATGATAAATTATGAATAAATCAGACAGTAGAGAATATTAATTACCTATAATAAGTATTGTCAATAAGTAAAAATACCTTTTCTTCAATGGTGAGTGGCGTTCCAATCTCCTTATTCGTGAACTGTATGCAGGCGACCGTCCCGTCAGAACTACACGCCAACAGGTTCAGACCTGTTCAGACGAATTGTTTTACAATTTTTTGCTGTTGTAATCAGAATCTATAGGTACTAATATTATAAAGTTGAAGTGTTTGTTTGTTTGAATGAGCTGTTCTCATCAAGATGTGTAGGAGTGTAACTAGTTTTTTATAAAAAAGTAAATAGATAACATTTAAGCATTAAAGAAGAAGAAATGAGAGTCTTTTTTATAACTTATTGCCTGATGGCATAAGCCAATATATATGTATAATAAAATTGTTAATAATTTCTGATTTTTCGTTTTAATTAACTTCGATGAAGGGAGGGCCCTTCATCCCTCCTCAATCCTTATGCAAAAGGCCGGCAACGTAATCTGCACTCCTAGTGTCGCTGGCGTTCATAGGCGGCGTCCACTGCTTACCATCATTAAACCGACAACTGGTTTGCCCACCAATACCATAGAAAAGGTTACAAGGCCTTACCATCAGAACTCCAAGACAAGTCCAGCACGCTATCACTGAACAAGTCGTGCACGACGACCAGAGGTCGCTTGAGTGACGTCAGCCAGATACTGAGCGCGCGGTCCCGGGACCCCACGGCCGCGCAGCAACACTTCTTGCCTTCCTTCACGAATATGTTGTTATTGAACCGCTGTGGAGGATGAACCAGATAGTTTAGATTTTTGACTAGTTAAAAATGCATTTTCAAAGAGCAGTTCTTAGGTTAGTTTTATAATATGACATGAGAAAGCTATAATTTACCTAGGAATGTTATAAGTATTTAATAGGAAGGCTGAAAGGGCGTTCTCTTATTTAGATTCTTTGCAAAAGACCTTCTACGGAAAACAGAAGGTCAAAGAAAAGTTTTTTTTATAACATTGGATTTTCTCCTGTGTCGTGGGTGCGGTTACAAACAAACAATTTCACATAGACATGACACCCAGACCCGAAATGAAAGAAAGATATGTGGATCACGCAAAGAGTTGTTCCGTTCGGGAATCGCACCCGCGACACGTTGCACGGCAGCCAATTGCCCAGCCACCGCACAAACCGTGCAGGTATATTCCAACAAGCTACAACATACTCTGTTAAGACCACCCATTGTAATCACAACAAAAATTTTCCGTATTTCTTTATAAATTAAAAAATGAAATATAATCTTTACCATACACATCAAAACTACAATACTGTTTTCCTAGGCTATGTGAAGCCACTTCGAGGTCACGTCACACAAAGAAGGGTATTTAACTTGTCACATATTTTTTATCTGTAACACAGATACAGATACAATGGAATTCAAACTCACAGCACAGGTAACAGCCTTTCTATGTCCGACAAAGTCCTTGTCGCACCGCCACCCGTCTCTCTCTACGACCTGCGCAGTGGGCCCACCGCCATTCATCGCGTGAGCTGATAGTACGTACTGTCCGTCGGGAGACCAGGATAGACGAAGAACGTGTGTTGTACCTGCGAATGGCGGTTAAAATGTTACAAAACAATATGTATAAAATAATGTAAAATATAATATTATCAGTTCAAATTATTCTTTTCACATATATAAGACATGGTATTCTTCCTGACTATAAAATCTATCATCAGCATCAATCTTTATAGTCCAGGTTGAATGACAGCTTAATATTTGCTTAATAATCTACATCTATGGAAAATTTTGTTCAAACCAGTCTCTTTAGATTTTACTTGAAGGCTTTAGCATATTAGAAAATATTAGTAATTACTATCTCTTAGTAAATATTATGTTAGTGCAGGTCAAAATAGTCAATACCTCCACACTCCTCAAATGGTTCTGTTATCACAATCTCTTGTGCCCAGTCCGCTGTCTTCCATACCCTCAGTGACTTGTCATCAGACTGAGAAGCTAGATACTTGCCCACCTGGAAATTATTTAAATTTTTTAACATTTACATAAAATAACATTCTTATACAATACTCATACAAATACGAAAATCTTTATTGCGCTAAAAATGTACACTACAACACTATCTTTCTTTTTCTTTCTTTCTTTACTTTCTAGAGTAAAGAAGATGAAAAAAGGTTGAAGGAACGAAAAAGGAACAAATACACAAATGTGTTTAGTACTGTATCAATCTTACTTACAAAGAGTATTTCTATCCAATTAAAAATTGCTTACTATCTACAAAAGTATGCTATGATGCAAAAATAGGTATAATAAAATAGGGAAGATACTTACTGGGTCCCAAGCCACACCTTTCACCAACCCACTGTGTCCATTTAGCACACAGACCATTTCTGGAAATTTCTCAGCATTCCAAATGATGATGGAGTTGTCCACACTACAGCTAGCCAGCCATTTGTCTAGCGGTGACCAAGCCAGATCCAGGACATCACCTGATTCATAAAAATAGATATTTTTTAATTAGTTAATTAAATTACTATTGTGAGACTAAATTTCTCTGTCCTCTTGTAATTTGACATGATATTGCAACCTAAGTTTCATATGAATAAATTGTCCGTACATACAATTAATTTAAAAATAGATTCATTTTGGTGGTATTTCTTAGCATAATAGTCAGATCTGCCACAATCTTCAATTAGCCTTTCACTGCTGAAATATTGATATCTAGCAAAATATTAAATTAAATGAAAAACAAATACAATAGTCAATTTACCCATAATATTTTTATTACGAACCTGCATGGCCTCTCAATGTAGCCAAACACCGCCAAGTCTCAGCCTTGTGTTTACCCGGAGTAGCAGTAGCAGCCACACTGAGACCCCATACCATTACAAGTCTGTCATCTCCGCCTGATGCTAGATATTTCCCTCCATTACTCCAACGGACACAATTTACGCAAGCTGAAAATAAAATTTTTTACTTATAAGTTCAATAACAGAAGAAGTCCATTAATACTTTAAATTAAAAAGTGAAAAGGCCTTATTATTCTTTTAGTAGATTTAACTAGTACGAAAATGTGTAAAATGATATTGTAACTATGAAATATATGTGTGAAAGTTACAATTTAGTTTAAAAATGCATGTGAGTTTGTATGTATGTACAAACAAGTAATAGTAGATAGTCTTCAGTACTGCACTTGAAATGTTAAACCATACTATGATAAATAAATAAAAAAATAAAATGACAGAACAAGTGTGTTTTAGTTAATCTACATTTATCTATCAATTTCCAATAAGAAGTCAGATTGAAACAGAGCATGTATGAGTTACTGAGGTAAGTGTAAGCTGCTACTAACCTAAATGATTATCCATCTGACAAAGCATCTTCGGGACATTAGGATCCACCTCCATAGCTTCAAAGAGAACTGGGTTCAAGTTCCACACCACGACCCGCCCGGAGTCCCCACCTTGACCCCCAGTCGCAAACCGCTTCCCCGTAGGGTGTATATCCACCGAAAATATCGGTTTATCTGAAAATATTACTAATTAGTTGCAGGAAACCTCTAATAGGTAATGTCGCTTTTCATTAACAAATCAATTATATTTACCATCGTGATTCACCCAACTGGGCTTTAGCAGCTTCATTTGTAATGTCTTGATTAAATTAAACTGAAAATAACAGCTAATATTCAAAATAAATACAGCTTTTTCCCACTTTATTTAGTTTATTGTTAAATGACACTGACAGCATCAACAATTTAACGCCGCCCGCCCGGCTATTTGAAGCGAGCGTTCAGAAGCAAGGCTTAGATCATTTCTATCTAACTTTTAACAGACTCTAAAATATTTTATTTCGAAGTTACTATTTGATTTTATTAACTAATGTTATTAAAATACTTATTTTTAAAAGTCGGTTTCATTAATATCGTAGAATGGGTGCATTTAAATTCATTAAAAAAATAAAAATTGAAATCACTTTAAATTTCCATTACAATTTTATTTCTTCTACTAACTTCATATAAAAGAAAGAAACATAAAGAAAAAATTATATCAATGTTAAAAAGTGGCCGAAAGATAGGTAGGTAAATAAATAGTCTTCTGATTGTTAGTTGACTTGTCACCTGGAACTGGAACGCGATTGTGTGCACGTTTTGAAGTTCTACTCTCTATCTGTTGATTTTTTGGTAATTTTGAAATAATAAAAAGCGGCATGAGAGGAGCAGACACTCTGATACCGGCTAGATTCTTAACTTTGACCAGTCACCTATCTGCGGTTGTAACTTTGCTATGGGAGAGCCAGGAGAGCACTCGACACTGTTTGCCGAGCCACTTTCACGACGATCATTTCCAATTTTATCACAGCCGGTAAGTATCATTGTCTAAATTTATAGAGAATCATTGGCAAAATAACTGTAGAAAATCTATATTGAATATTTGATTATATTTCTGTTACCTTTTTGTCATTAATTTGCATTTGCAAGACGGTTTCGCATCGTATTATCTTACGCACCTAGATTACGGGATACCGCAACGCTATGCGGGTTGCGGACCTGCGGATAAATGTAGGGCATTCGGCCAAGTTTAAATTTGGATAGTGGGATGATTGTAAAAATGTAATAAAGAATGTTTTTTTTTTTAGTATTGATTATTTACAGTGAATGTTTTGTTAAATAGTTACAATTCGCTCTCTTTTAACGCCTATGCTAATCGTCATAGCAACGTTGACGGTAATATGCAATTGATACTTAGGTACACAAATATATGGGTTATGTATGATAGGCTTGAATTTTAATTTTAGTACCTAAGTATTTTAATATGATTAATATGAGTTCTCATGGTCTATAATAAAAACTAATTTTGTGTACTTAAAACAATTATTATGTTTATTTATGATAGACACTTTTTTATTTACCTACAAACAAAAACCAATAATAATCAAAAAAAGAACTTTTAAAAATGTAAATAAAAAATAAACTTAAATAATAAGTATCTCACTTATTTTACTAAACAAACATTAACTACCTAATGCCCTTCAAAATAGTACAATTAATACTTATGCTTCCACTTAACTGAGTTTATAAAACAATTAGCTAATTGTTTACTTCAAGTTATTGCAGCAATAATATTAGCCACAAGCTTTTCTAGACCTGTGTAAACATCAGAAAGTTTATGATAACCTGCCAGCTGCACGAGGCAAATAAAGAAACAATGTTGTTTATAGTTTATGGCAAATTTTATTCATTAGTATGTTATTTATGAGCCCTTAATGGAAAAATTCTTGGTCTATTAACAAATAAATTTTAATTAATATCCTTATGTAGTTTTCTACAATTAGGTCTTGGTAGAATATATACAACATTAATCTTTACTAAAAAAAATAAGTAAATATAATGATGGACATTAGTTTTTAAGTTAGAAAAAATATTATAAAATATTTTCTCGGAAAAAAAATATTTTATAATATTATTTCTGATCCATGAAGGACCAGTTAACAGATCAGAAAACAGAAAAAAAATTAGCTATGTATTTTCTTCCTACTCAGAACAGGAACACATTAAATGTATACACATATAATGGACTTAACTTACTTTAATTGTCAAACTGACTCATTATCTTCTCACAAATTAAAAACATATTGAATGTAAGGTAACACCAGGTGGGAAATGAGTGCAGTGAGTATGTCAAACCAGTATAAACCGGTTTAATGGGGTATGTGTGTTTACACAAGCTTGTGTGTTTGAGATTAGTAAGCCATTGTAGAGTATGTGTGTGCTAACCTGAGGCTGATTGTGGATGTGAGGGGCTAGGGCTGGTGGTTGCTAGATTGAGGGAAAGAGATAGAATTCGGGAGTCCAAGAAGGTGATAGGAAGGAGGTAGTAGCAGTTAATTTTAATAGTTAGATTAACTCTAAGAGTTTGCATAAATAGGACTATTAAAATTCACTAATAAAAAGCTTGGTTGCAAGGTTGGCGTGGTGACTGGGTGCCGTGCAAAGTGCCGGGGTCCGTACAGAACAACTCTTTGCGTAATCCAGAAATTGTTCTTCCGAGTCTGAGTGTGATATGTTTGTTTGTAAACGCACCCACGATATAGGAGACAATAGTATATGGCTTTCGTAATAAAAAAAAAATGAAGTTTGAAGAAGTAATAAACTTCCAATTGAATTCCAACAAGGCATTTAATTGCCTTTTCCTGTAGCTATACGACCTTCATAGAGAGTAGTGAGTACACGGAGATCGTCAGTTGTAGGTACTCAATGTGATGAGCTCAAGTCTTGAGGGAAATTGTATTAACTCATCGATTCCTATAATATACTTAGAGTTTATTAGATTGAGGGACAATTACTCCCTTGGTATCTAACGCTAAATAGGTAGCTTTCCATCTCTATCTTCTGTTTTGCATAGTGTCTGAAAGTCTTCTGGGAGACATATCTTGTCTTACCCGGCTCAGCTCTGGGCGCCATATTTGTTTCCGTAACGTTCGTTTTCATGTTCGAAGTACCTATGTGAATATTGTTTAAAAGTTATACGTAACATTTTAAAAACTGCAATAAACGCTAGGCTTTAAAGTTATGCCTTGAAATCGACAAAGGGCACAGGCGGACTGTCAAGTTGTAAAATGGATAGTCCACATCTCTTACCCGCTATCGCGCCAACACCGATCGAAATTATCTTGAGAAAGTAAAAGAAACATGTCAATATACATGTAGATAACTCTAAAACAAAAACCGGTGAAGACCAGAAAAAATAATAAAAAGACATGTGACGAGATGACGTCCATCAACACATCTGGCCCTCGTGAAGTTCTGTACACCAGAGTATGAGATATCTTGCCTATATTTAAACGAAAGTATGTTTGAAGAAGAAAACCAATATTGAAACTATTAAATCAAACCGTAAAACGAAGCATTGTTTCTTATTTATCTAGTTAATGCTTTATAAGTTTTCTGTAATCTCGAACTCTTATCAATGTTTATTAAAGCTACTTGTAAAGCGATATACATCTCCTAACTAATCATAAAAGTAATCGTTTAATTGCCTTCAGTTTTAGTTATAGATACATCCTATCTGACGGCTGAACAAACGTTGAGTTATGGCAGTTTCCTCGCCTCTTATCAGCCGCACCCTTATTAAGATTTGAAGTCTATCCCTTAGACCTGGGGTATGAGCTGTTTCGTACTAGTTCCCATTTATTGAGAGATCCTTTACTTTGCTTCCCTAATCCAGGTCTGTATCTACGGAGAGTAGTATGACCTAGAAAACGTTATGGAGTTGACAGAGCGCCAAAGATTTCTAGCTTGAAGTTAGTTGCTCGAAAAGTCTTCTTTTAAAAACTTGCAATTGAAAAATGCACTTTGTGACATCCCTGTATACTTAGTCCTATCCCAACAACCGATAATAACCGGTTAAAATTGCCAGCGACTATCCAAAGTTTACAAAACACGAGGTGTAGTGACGAGCACCGGACACTACGGTTGTAGTGCGCCTGCGCAGCTCCGCAGCGGTCAGGCGACTCCATCAATACCGCTCACGTGAACAGTGGATAAACGTTTGTTTTAAAAGAAATTTGAGCTATACCAAGTAACTTCATACATTCTGGTTTTTTTATTAGCCAGATTTCAATTTTTAAGTGTATCCCAGTTAAATATATGGGGTCAACGGCCTCTAGCGAAGTAAGTTACCTTATCTGTTGTTTTTAATGTTTATTATTTTCCTGTTCGTTTTTATGTGTTATGTAAAGGTACTCTCTAGATGCGGTTTGAGTGTTATTTAGTTACTTGTGTGAAAGAATGCGTGCGGTTTAGTTACTGAAAAGTTGATGTCAAATCCACAATCATTGAAGATCTGTCACATATTATGCTGCAGAAGGCCTGGTGGAAGATTTAACTACTAGTTTATGAGATGAGATCGAGTACAGGATCTACAAACTAAAAATTAAGACGCGGCAGTTGAAAGCGCGGCGCGGTCTTTTGGACGGGGAGTATTTCTTGTGACGAAGAATATGCAACGTGAACTGAATTGTGTATTTCTACAAAAGTATATATAATGATATTCAATTATAATTAGTATGAAATGGTTGACACACGTCATACTCGTGAACGGGTTCCTTGGAACGTGCCTTCCGGGGACAGGTTGGCACACCCAGCTTGTTGGTGAGCTGATTGAGTAGACGCGTCGATAAATTTAAACATAAAATCATGATATGTTTTCTTGCAGAGATTGCAGAGAGAGGCACCATTGCCAATGAATATTACTTTTCTGAAATTAATTTAATTGCTATAAAACTAGAACGGAGTTATTATGTCAAATCAAATTCGTCTGTGGAAATGAATTTTGACAAATGATAGGGGATTTCTTAGATATAAAATGGAAATAAAAGGAATGTAAGAGATTTCTCTCCGAACCGATGTTCTATGTGATAGACGGTTACATGATTATACATGATCAATAATATGGTTCGTTTGAAAAATCCTATTTCCAAAAAAGACATCTGTTACTGCGCTACTAATCTGCTGAAAAAAAGAAAACAGTTATTAGGTGCATGATACAATGTATGAGGTTAACATTTGCGTGCGTAAGCTAATTAGCGAGGTAAAAAATAGACACAAACGCAACCTCAAAGAAGATCTGTCTAAAGGACAAATAACGACCGACGACGCACGAAACACGAAAGGGCAAAATTCATATCGGTAGATAAACTATTATAATTCATCAAACTGTCATCATCAATACGAGACTAGAAGGATTTTCTAAACAAAAAAGGCAAGATTGCCACAATTTTCTCGCTTAACAAGCAGGTTGGAGATCGAATACGATAAAGAATAAATGTAGAGGTTTGCAGGATCATTTATTACAAGAAAAATAATCGAGTTGGTTCAGATTCTAAACTAATATCTAACTACTCTAAACTTTTGAAAGTACCTTAAAACGAATTACGGATAACTTTGATCCACTAATAGAGAATGCAATTGTCCGCAAATTTTGAAATCGCTCTGAACGAGAGATAAGCGTCGGGTTCACAAATCAAGTTTTTCAAGTGCCTTATTATAATCATTGAAGTTTGGAGAACCCCATTAATTGGTGATTTGCTGAGGAAAAGAATAACAGTATTCTATTGTGAACGTTAGTTTAGATCGACAGGTTCATAAACACCCTACCAGATTATTTGTTGTTAACAAGTTGCAGTTATCTTTAGACTATTTTGGTCGTTTTGACTCCTTCAACCTTTCAACGGTGGTCGTATCCAGGCAACTTACACGTTTTACAACCATTAGAATCCGCGGCCTTAAAAAGTTTGCATAAATGCTTAGGTACTTAAACATAGTTTATTTTTGGAGAAACCGGAGTTTGTCTTTGTATAAGGTGTCATAATACATCATTTTTCAAGAGCAACACGTGCACATTGATACGAAAATCCCCCTAATGTGTACGTAATAACGTTGCTGTTACTACGGTGGAGAACATCTCAGCTCCTCGCACAAGCTGTGTCGTAATTTGTTTGCAAGTCAAACACGACTGTTACCAGTCTCTGAACAGTTAGGTGAGTTCAAGGTTAGTTCCTCCGAACGCATGCGGTATCCGAGTATTTACCGCATTCACGATTTGTCGCGCCTAAACTTAAGTAGTGTTTATGTTATAAAATTTTATTCTTTTTTTAAAAATGGTTCGGGAACACGGAGAGAAGAAGGTTAGCTGAAGTTTTTATATGTAACCTCTTTGCTGCGTTACGTCTCTGTTGTGTCTGTGTGTGTGTCCTTTCATGTGTATTAATATGGAAATAAGTTTTTGTCGAAAACAGATGTTGTGCATTGCCTGTGTCAGTTGCGGTTTACGCGAGAAAAGTATGTATTATGTTATTATTTAATATATTATTATATAAAAATGAAATGCTGTTGGTTAGTCTCTGTAAATCTCGAGAACTACTGGTCCAATTAGGCTAACATTGGCCTTGAAATCGAAGAGTCCAGGGAAGGTTAAAAGCTCATAAAACATAAGTTTATTTTGAGGCGAAACGAAATTAGGCGGTTCTGATAGTTACTTATTAAAAAGCATGTGTGCTTTCTGTTATAAAATTAAGATGCAGTGGAAACAACACGTGGTTTAAAAGACGCGCCGTTATTACAAGACAACAAGAACCAAATTAGATCAATATATACCTTAAAACTTTGCATCTGTTTTAATATTAGCATCATAAAGTATCGACCAAAAAGTTCATTAGCAAATGTTTCATAGTTTTTAAAAACAGGAAAAATTGTTATTTTTTGATAAACGTAAAATACCAAATAGGTTCGAAGCTCTGTTTTAAAAAAAATATTAATGCGGCGCGTAGTTGAGTGGAAAAACGAGTATGTATGTAGTGACCTACTAGTTCCAGTACCTTTATCGCTGTCCTTGATAAAGTACATAATACTGTGCAATAGCAGATACTTGAACAGTATTAAGATACTTTATTATTATTAGGATAAAAAAATATATAATAAATGGTCGGTATTTTAACACGAGAGCTTTTAGTTCTTTGTGTACTCTCCAATTTTATTACCTAGTTCTGTGTGCTAATGTTTGTTATATAATCTTCATTATAAATAAAAATTTCTTCTCACGCGTTTGTCCGCGATGGATTCCTAAACTACTAAACCGATTTTAAATTTGATTTGCATTCCGTGTGTAATTTTATCCAACTTGAAAGATAGGATAGCTTACATCTCAATTTATAGTCCCAATATTATTTTGACAAGAACTTGGGTCTGCTAGTAATATATAATTAGCAGGTTTGTATAAATATGCTTACACATATTTTTTACTACAATATGTTCGTAAAAAACATAGGTACATACATACCTACAAAGCCTGTTAAAATCATAATCCTCCTTTTGCTTTGGCGTAGTCGGGTAAAAACGAAGTGTGAAGATACATCAACAAAGAAACCTAGATAAATTCTTATAAACCTCACTACTAAGCAAACTTAAAATGGGTACACGACTTATAATGAGGTCGTTATTAATAATACGGTTGTTTCCAACTAGTCAAATTCAATACTTTTATCCAAATGTCAAAAACGATACTTTTCTATGAAAATTGTATGAAACATTGAATTATGACGTCATAGCATTTTTGCGACAAATAGGTTACTTAATTTTTAAAAATTAGCTAAAAAATATCTAAAACTTAGTGTATCGATCGATCGATGAATAAAAGTATAGTTACTTTTCAATATTTTATCATATCAAACGAATTAATTTATTTTTGACCTAGGAAACTACCCAATTGTGTAAAAATAATGTAAACGCAAATCCAAAGATGAAAAAGAAGCTTAATTGAATCCCTTTTTTAAAGTTAGGCACCGTTTCACAATGTCTCAATAGACGCTATGTATCAGATAAGCTTGAATATAGAACGTTGTTTGTATGAACTATGTGCTACATAAGTTTATTGGAAACTTATAGGAAGGTGGTGAAAAAAGCGCAATGAATAACTTTCCAGGAATATAAAAAAGATTCGCTTTTTAAATTCTCTTGTAGAAAATTATTTTCGGTTTACATTAAATTTAGCCACAAATCATAAAAAATACTCAATTATTTCCATATTAAATTGAGAATGGGTATTCATAGGCAAATACGATTGTTTGATAAAAATCTCTATTTCTTTACACTATTATTTCCCATGATCTCGTAGTTATAAGCGCTTAAGACTAGTACTTTCATTAAAATCACTGAGAATGTGTAACTATTATATAATATTAAATAACCTAATCTATTATATCGATATAATAATATTACTTAATAGCCACGAGTAATGATTCAGTTATAATGCGCAAGCGCATGTTTGTATGAAATAATTGACGATTGCGATGTGCAGGTGTGTAAAATATAATTGTGATTGTTTTTTAATGAATTCAGAAGCGGCTTAAGGTTTTATTTGATTGGTTCCGTAAGATTTTTAAGTTTCTTTTTTATTTAATGAATAGTCAAGCTTCCTGACTGACCACTTGGTACACGCAACAACACAGTAGTTAACTACAAGTTCATTGTCGTCCCTTTTTTATAGAAATTTGAGATTTGATTTTGGATTTAGCGAAGGAGAAGAAAAGGAAATAAGAGAAAATCCTTTCCGATAACCACACCGACATTGACATAACGAACGCCAGTTTTTTATTTGGCTATGATTGGTATAATCCGAGGCCCATTCGTGTCAAAGCAAGGCTCTTTCACACTCCTCTACTAAGTACTATTGTTTGCTGACTTAAATATTATTATTCTAATTTATTATACTATGAAAGAATATACTTAGCAAATTTACCGTTCAAGGGGAACAGACAGGATGCAATCGCAAGAAAATATCAAAACCTGACCTCCTCTAAATTCATGTTTCTTTTTTCGAAGGTTTTTTTTTAAATATCGTAACGGCCATTGGTCGTTGTGTACTTAATCGCATTGTCATGTACGCGTAACCTTTGTTCCGTCGAAGTAAACACGACTTGCGCCGGCGCAGTTATAATACGCACGTGTATTGTCCGGATCGCATGACTCCTTTGTATTCGATCACGTGTGAAAATCCGATTGTTAACCTAACTTCATTATTAACAAGATTAATTTTCGGTATAAACTTCGTTTGTTTGATTAAATATTGACTTAACGAAAGTTGGTCACGTTTTTACCCGTAACCTGTGATCTTCGTAAGAGGTAACTATAACTGTTATGAGGCTAGTTGTTGTTATGGAAATCTTCAAATATTTCTTTGGTTGTAAGGATGTACATGATATATTTTATGGCATCTTACTAAATACTTTAAAGAAGCCACCAAGTTATATTCATTTAAATATAGTACCTAATTGGTAGGGTAAACGAAAAAAAAGATTCATGATTGAATTTAGGTTATTTTTTTATTCAATCAATAACAATGAGAATTTGAAAGTTCATTCCACTTTCAAGAATTCTAATTAAATTAAGGTAAAGCTATTTATACTACATGAATTATTTGAATTTGCATAAAGTTACACCTTTGCCATTTCGCTTTAAGTTTATTGACATACTTATTTGGTTGTGTCGCGACAGAGCTCCTGTTTTATGTATTTCACATAACACGAGACGACTCAACATGACACGCCAGTTTGTCTCTGACCACAGCGAATCTGTAAAAGCGATCGCGAATCCTACAAGACATACCAATATATGTTTTAGGCTTAAAGCTTCTGTCGCGTTCTAGGATCTGGGCCATAGAATCATGCACAAATAAGTTAGAAAATGAATAACTATAAAAGCACTGTTTACAATTACCTTTTTATAACGATTTCTGTAAATTACTAAAGGCCTGTTCCGGCTTCGCAAGGGTTAGATTACTTAAGTTAAAAATAGTATGGATCCCTAATCTTTACCAGCATTTAATAACATTTAACTTTTCCTAGTAAAGGAACTAAATTATAGCTCATGTTTCTCAGGGTGAATGTAGATTTATAATAGTAAGAGATTTTTTTCAAATCGGTGCATTAGTTTTTCAATTTATTCAAAACAAACGTACAACCAAAATTTTATTTTCCCGCTTTATAATATCAGTGTACACTAAGTGTAGATGTGTGGTGATGCCACAGTAAAAGAGTTTCCGATAGTATACAAGAATTGGAGATGTCTGTTGTTTTTCCGCAAAATGCAGAGGAATATCAGCATTGCATACCATGTGTATTCGCGTATCGGGTTCTTGTTTTGTCTAGCTCCTCTTTACGACGTATTTTCTGAAGATACCGACTACTCACTCGAGTCATTCTTTTGTTTGCTGTGTCTTGATATTGAATTTTTCTTGCCGTTTGGAGTTTTTTTTATGAAATAGCCGGTCCCTAAACGAGCTGGCGTATTACCTGATGGTAAGCAAGCAGCGCCGCCCAATGGACACCTGCAACGAAGGAGTTACGAGTGCGTTGCCGACCTTGTAGGGATTAGGGATTTAGAGATTTAGGAATTGACGAGGGATTGGTTGAGGGGAAGAATTGGGCCTCCGGTAACCTCACTCACACGGCGAAACACAACGCTGTGGTTGTTTCACGCCGGTTTTCTGTGAGGTCTTGGTATCACTCCGGTCGAGCCGACCCACTCGTGCCGAAGCATGGCTCTCCCACACTTAAAGTTAGACCTTTAGGAACTTTGATCGCTGAGACCTTGTCTTAAATAGATGTACCTATGTTAAAAATCCTTTTGAACGAATTACATTTTCGAACTTTTATTTTTCATCGGATTCGGAATGCATAATAAATACGCAAAATGCTTGTTACTTATTTTACTTAACGAATGCTTGATAAAAAAAAACGTGAGGTTGTAAAAGAGTTTGGGTTTTCTTGGTGGGGAACATTATCAAATAAATTCTTTCGCCCTTAGTCCAGTCATTTTAGGCATTTTATACTCCAATCTGGGGAAAAATTCCTAGTGAGCTGAATTTTTGTATACACCTTTATTACGGCGTTATTATGAAGTTGTAAAAAATCGACATCGATATCGTGTCGGCTAAAAATATTCAAAGAGGTCAAAAGGTCACGAAAATCAGTTTTTTGCAAATATTACGCGACCTATTGCTCGGAAGTCAATAGAGGTCATTATAAAAATTGTTCCTCATAAAATTGTCTACAAAAAATGTCTCATATAGTTTTTCTGTAAAATTAACGGTTATTGGATCATAAATTCAGCTCACTAGGAATTTTTCCCC